CTCTTTTTCCCAGGTAGCCATGTGGGTAAAGTTCCTTGAAAGTTCTTTAAATGTGTCCTTAGCTCTTAAGGTCTTTGGGTCACCTTATTTAAAATGTGACTCCACCTGCCTTTGGCCTCCCAAACTCCCTCACTCCGGAACCCCCACCAGCATTGCCTATCCACATTCCTAACCTTATTTCCTCCATGGCAATATCACCATCGGCCAAACTGTGGATCCTACTTATTTACTTGCTTTGTCTACCAGTCCTTCCCCATTGAAGTGTCAACTTCACATGGACAGTGACTTGTCTGCATTGAGCACTGCTGTCTTCCCAACACCTAAAGCTGATAGGAAGTAAATACACAATGTATACTTTTCAAAAATTAATGAAGAACTAGTCCAGTGGCACATGCCTGTAATCCTAGCTTCTTCCAAGGCAGAGATCAGGAGGATCACAGTGAAAAGCTAGCCCAGGAAAATAGTTTGTGAGATCCTATCTTGAAAACACATAACACAGAAAAGAGTTAGTGGAGTGGCTTGAGTAGTAGAGCACCTGCCTAGCAAGAGTGAGGCCCTGAGTTCAAACCCCAGTACGGCCCCCAAAAATTTAATGAAGAACTATAAAATAAGGATTGGGCTAGAAAAAAAAGTAAGTAAAATCTGCTGTAAATAAAGTGTTACACATATGCACATATGTGTTATTCTTGAGAGGAGAAAGTTTGCACATTTTATCTGATTCTCAAAGTCCTCTACCCCTCCAAACAGGGGAATAAACCACTGAATTAGACACCTTGTTAGGCCTTTGAGCTGCTGGATTTCGAGCCTCCCTTCCTCTTCTAGCTCTTTCTCTGGCTTTCCCCTTTTGGTCCATCTTATTATTTCCCCAATAGTGAAGTCATGTTTTTCTCTGGTTTCCTTACTAGACTTTGAAATCACTAAGTCTGAGATTATTGTCTGATACATTTCTTTCCCCTCTTTAAACCTAACACTTGTCTGAGAGCTCTGATGCTGTTTGCTAAATGAATTAACAGGACAAGAAAAAGTTGAGGGGCTGAGAAGCTCAAGTGGTAGCGTGCCTGCTTAGCAAATGTGAGGCCCTGAGTTTGAACTCCAGTACTGCCTCACAGTTGAGGAGTAACACAGAAAAGCCCCTTTTTTACAGTTTGGGCCCTCCCTTTTTGCCCTAAGATAAGGTGCAATTTTACTTCTGTTCATCTAAGATTTGACACGTTTCACCAAACTATTAACTTACTGATCTTCAAAATTGAAATTTGAGGTAGGAAGTGGGAAAGACCACAATCGCACTTTCACCTTGAGCAGTTGTATTTGTGTTCATTAAAGGCAGATGCCTCCATTCTGGACCCCCACCAGCATTGGCTATCCACAGTCCTAACCTTATGAAGAGAAAGTGTATGGTATTTTGGCTCAGTGGTGGTATGGTAGAAGAAGCAAGGGGTGGTTGGCTCTGCCTATGAACAGATGGATAGGGTGTTTGATTATGTATTTCAGATAGACAATTAGCCATGTTCTTAAGTCCGGGTATCTTCCTCACTTCTGTAGTTATTGCAAATTGCTCACAAAGTCACTCAATTAAATATCATAGTTACTTCACAGCCTGTTATGTGCTATAAAACCTCAACTTTCTTTTATGTTTTATTTATTTATATTATTCATTTATTCAGATGTGTGTACATTGTTTGGGTCATTTCTCCCCCCACCCCCCTCCCCCACCCTCTCCCCCTCTCTCTCTCCCCACTTCCAGGCAGAACCTGTTCTGCTCTTATCTCTAATTTTGTTGAAGAGAAGACATAAGCATAATAAGGAAGACAAAGCGTTTTTGCTAGTTGAGTTAAGGATAGCTATACAGAGAGATTCCTAGCATTGCTTTTGTGTACCCATGTGCTACAACCCAAATTTATTCATCTCTAACTGATCTTTACACTGGTTCCTGATCCCCTTCTCATGTTAACCTCTGTCGCTTTAAGGTTTCTGTATTAGTTCCTCTGGAGTGGGGACATTAAATACTTTCATGTTTTGGGTTTTCTACCTATTCCCATATCTCCCATATGTGCTCTCCCTTTGTCATGTGATCCAAGTCCAACCACATTGCTGCATTTGCCCTTGATCTAATGTCCGCATATAAGGGAGAACGTACGATTTTTGGTCTTCTGAGCTTGGCTGACCTCGCTCAAATGATGTTCTGCAGTTCCATCCATTTACCTGAAAATGGTAAGATTTCATTCTTCTTCGTGGCTAAGTAAAATTCCATTGTGTACAAGTACCACATTTTCTTAATCCATTCATCAGTAGTGGGGCATCTTGGCTGTTTCCATAACTTGGCTATTGTGAATAGTGCTGCAATAAACATGGGTGTTCAGGTGCCTCTGGAGTAACCTGTGTCACATTTCTTTGGGTATATCCCCAAGAGTTGGATTACTGGATCATATGGCAGGTTTGTATTTAGATTTTTAAGGAGCCTCCAAAATTTTTTCCAGAGTGTAAAACCTCAACTTTCTACAACTCCTGTTTACTTTTGCAATAATGCAAGCCTTCCTCACTTCTGCTTCTCATAATAGTCACCTCTGCATGATTTTCCTCCTTCAACTAGAGATCCAGAATGATTTGTCCTTTACCACTTCCAGAGATTATTTTAGGAATATGCCAGGTAACTACCAAACACACTTTTTCTTCTTCCTGGCATACAGGTAGATTGCTTTGCTGGTCAATATTTGCCAGTGGGTGTGGTTATCTGCCTGAGCTTCAGCCAATCTTCTAGCAAGTATTACAGAGCACCTCTTTCAGGACTAGTCTGTAGAAACCTTAGTTATTATCCTGCATGCATTTTGCCTTTCATAAAGTCATAGCAGGCTTGGCAATGACATGTTGAAGACGGTAGAGCCAGAGATGGAAAGAACAATGGAATCATCACCGCTCTGCCAGGGCTCTCTCGTCACCACACACTTATACCCACATGTCTACCATGTTAAATCATTGAAAATTTGTTATTATTTGTTGTGGTTATAGCAATCTATCTTTTTTTTTTTTTTCAGTACTAGGGCTTGAACTCAGGGTCTTATGCTTGCTAGGCAGGCACTCTACTGCATGAGTCACTCCACCAGCGTGAAATCTATCTTAACTAAAGTTTTGCTTGTGTTGTACGCAGCAATGTTTTTGAAACAGAATGATTCAGTAAGCCTCCAGTGGTTAGTACAGGAAACAGCAAGAGAGCTTTGGAATCTAGATAAGACATCTAAATCTTTACCAATAGGCCAAGGGGAAGTGGGAATTGGGAAACTTATCTCATCCAAAGAGAAAGACGGGGCAAGCTCCTATTCCATTTCATCATCTCAAGTAGTTCTTCATTTGATAAGCCTTATGGGCTAGAGATGGAAATGCTCCCTTTCCTCCTAATCCACGTAATCCCCTTGCTCCAAGCCTTGCACTGTCACAGCACTTACAAAGGAAGGAAGAAAGGAAAGAATAAGGAAAACAGTTCATTCTCTTTCAGCACTCGGAAAATACTTCCCACAGGATCCCTGTCCTCTGCTGTCTTTATCTGATTTGTCACTGTTAGAACAGGGTCATGTACTCACTTTTATACAAATCATGACTCACCATTACTACTCTTAGTTAAAACCATGCTGTCCAGACAAAACTGATGCTCTTTTGCAAGAAATATGAATGAATAGCTGATGAGTAAAAAGCGAGTGATGATTTCCACTCATGTCTTTAATTAGGTTTCACCAAAACCAGGACTCCTTTCTCCAAATCTGAGCTCAACCTTAGATTGGATTATATTTTTGATGTCATATTTTTTCCGGTATGGGCACCTCAGTAGCCTTGCTACATGAAAAGCTGTAATTTTCTGTTTCTTCTCATCAGTCACATTTTCCTAGGCTGGGAAGCACTTTGATCTGCCTTGAATGTTAAGATGAGAACTTGTACCTGATCAAAATATCCGATGATTATTTCAGTTAATAGAAAGAGAACATCACCCTCTAATACTTTTCACAGTTAGTAAATTTTCTTCCTTGGTCAAAGTGGCAAGGATTTCATTCAGTGGACTAAATGTAAAAGGCAATAAAATCCAAAATAGTTTTTATCATGAGTAAATCCCTTGAATGCCTCAGTTTTCTTATTTTTATGAAAATATCAAATCCAGGAAATTTGATATTTCCTGGGAAATTGGGGTTAGATCCTTAATACTCAGTCCATATCCTTTATTTATTTGAAAACTTTTTATAAACTGTAAAGGAAAAAATAAAAGCAATCAAATTATTATTATAGTTTACTTTTTAAAAGCTTCTCTCTTGATTAGTGCAATGATTGTGATGATGACGATTACTTTCTATTATTGAGTGAAATGGGTGTTAAGGTTGGCCTTTTAAAAATAGCATCTTAAACCCTCACATCAATTCTACAATTATCATCGACATTTCACATGCTAGAAACCGAAGTTCAGATTTGAAGTGGTTTGTCCCGAGTCATCAGTAGAGTAGGCATTGGAACTGAGTTTTCTGATTCCAGAAAGATTCCTGTATTCCCTATCATGAGCCTGCCTCCTTCCTTCAATTCTCATTGCCACCCTCACTATGCTTATTACTTCCCTAAATTCCACAGAGTTTTTATACATTCCTCACTGGCTAATCCTTTTGTCTTAAGATTTTAGCAAAGTGGTCATTCCCATTCATTGACTGAGACATTTATGGACAGCATGTGAAATTATTTCTTTCTAGTTCAACAACTTTTTTCCCTCATCATTCCTTAACTCACATCTAGCTCAGTAAATAAACACTAGGAAGAAAAAAACCAGACATCAAGCAGATAGATTAGCAGACCAATCCTGTGGCTAAGGAGAGATTTCCTCTTTTTCCTTTGTTGGTCTAATAGGCAAGGTATGTGCCAACAGATTTTATAAGCACCTGAGAACAGCAATGACAAGTACAGACTGAGTTTACAGAATCCCAGTTGACATTTCCCCACGGAATTATCCAGGAAGGACCCTAACCAGTCTGCTTTACATGGAGGAGAGCAGTAACAAGGACCATCGGGCTTTGCTCAATCAAGGAGAGGAGAATGAACTGGTGAGTTTTCCCTTCTTTTTATTATTTTTCTCAGAGTGTCGAAGGGTCTGAGCAGGGGCTATTTTCAGCTACATTAGAGGATAGATCACAGTACCTATGGGGCTGGTTCTAGGACCCAGAAACATTTGGGTCTGATAAGGCTCCATGAGAGCTGCAAGCTGTGATTTTCAGGTGGAAGAATCTGCAAGGGTTGAGCAAGTTATGCCTCTGGATGGTGCAGTTCTTGCCATCTGCACATGTGGAGGACCATGTGAGTTTTCTAGATACTTTGCAGAGTGTCTGGGGTATATTCCCATATGTGCTCATTGAGGTGTCTCCCCCTTATTGTCTGAGTAAGCACAGAATTGGATAAACTCTGGGATGAAGTCATGCTTTTTTACTAAGACCAAGAGAGGCTTTAAGCAATAAGTGCCAAAGAAGGAGCAATGTACAGTCTGGGATTTTAACATATATGTAAAAAAAACCCCTCACTTCTGCAATTCCTTTTCCTATTGTCCCTTCTATCAAACATGTATAAATATTGAAAGTGATCATTGAAAACTTGATAACTCCTATAGTGTCTATTTAGTGCTCAGTAATTCATATTTATAATTTTACTTAGTCCTCAGAACAAAGAAGGAACTAATCTTATTTCATAGAAAAGAAATCAGAAACAAGGGAGGTTAAGTAACTTGCCAAGATCATTAGCCTACAGCAGACAGGCTGGGAATCCAGCCCATTTCTTGGCTCTTTACCCTGAAGCCTGTTCACACTACAACAGTGACCCTAGTTAGGCAATGAGTAAAGGAGAGAGAAGGGGGAAGGGTCAGAAGAAGGGTGCACTGGGGTGGAAAAGAACCAGGGAAACATGGTTCATATTTCAGAAAGGTGTCACTTTCCTGTCTGGCCTCCCCGGTTCCCTATGAGAGCTGTGGGAAATTCATAGCTGCTCTCTCTTCCACCTATTCTTGTTTGTTAATCTTAGGAAAATAAATGATTATGTCCACAGCTGGGCTAACCAATAAGATAGTCATTGGCCATCTGTGGTTTTTGAGCACTAGAAAAGTAGGGTCCAAACTGAAATGTGCTACATATGTAAAAATATTTAGCAGATTTTGAAGAACTTAGTAAAAAGTCCTATTAATAACATATAGTTGGTTACACATTAAAATTACAATATTTTAGATAGGTTGGATTGAATAGACTCTATTATGAAAATTAATTCCATTTGCCTGTTTTTACTTCTTTAATATGGCTGTTGAGAAATTTAAAATTATAAATATAGCCTGTATTTATGTATTATTGTACCACACTGAGCTCGATGATGGTACAATGCTTTAAAATCTTCAGACTGTGGGGATTCAAAGAATTAAAATATATTCACCTGTGTTCACTGCTGAGTGACTCTGTGCCAGGTCTGATGTTTTTTAAACATGTAAATGAGTGTTCATGAAAACCTTATGTTACTTTTTATTCTTTAACTAGGCGCTGTGTTTGTAGAGCTGATAGCCCAATATTTTAATTCTCCCAATCAGAGGGGGACAAGGGTATCACAGGATTAAATAATGGGCCAGCTGCCAGAGTTTTCTTCCTTTTGGTGAATAATCAAACACTTCTAGAGACATCCCACCAGAAACTTCTATTCAGAATCCTGCTATGCTGACTTCCTACTGTCAGGGCATTCTGGAGAGAGGAGGCTGGCTGCAGTGTTCTCTGTCACAAATCTTACTCTTGAGCAGAGCACACACGGTAAAATCCTATTTCAGCCCATGAAGTAATCCACTGGGTCAGGTGGGCCTGGTGGAACTGGGGATCACCTAAGTGCATAAGGTAAAGGAGTTGTGACTTAGTTCCAGGCAATCACTATCCTGTGAATCAATAGCCCAGTGTTTTCATATCTATTGAGTTTTAAAGGAAGCCAGAAAATGTGGAGTTCTGCATGAAATGGCCTGGTTAGATACTTTGGAATTGCATTTCTAAAACATAATCAGCAGGTCAACATAAACTTGGGCATGGTTTAGTACCTGCCTTGGGGACTGCTAGTTGTTGACTCTTAAAGTGCCTCCTCACTTGCTTTTCCTTTCCTGAAGGTTCCCCATGACCCAATCTGACTTCTACTTGCATTCATCATTTTAAATGAAAAATCAGTTGTGATTGTGTGAGAATTTGGGGTGAAAACTAGACACAGTTGGAGCAAACAAATTCCTTCAATCAAACACCCAGGAAGAACCTAAGCACATGGGGAAGGCCTGCTAATTATTCAAGCTGTTGTGGACTATTTTGCTGAGCTTAGCATGGATATAAAATATTGCATTAGTTTCATGAATTGAACACTGTCTCCTTCCCATCTCCTGTTCTCAGGTCCTAACTCCTCCAAGGTGGGGAGCAGCTAATGCTCATTGTCCTGGACAGGTGCTGGGCATTTAACAAGCAATATCTCATTTCACCTACACAACAGCCTAGCGGGAGGGACACACACCCTTACTTTCTAGGTCTTTATTGACTTTCCCACCCACTAAGTCTAATAGACTCCTTTTCTTTCTTTCTTGCCCAGAGCTTCCTTCAATTCTTCCATTTTCATTATTCTTGATTTTTCTTGAGGTCCCATCAAGACCAATAGCCTCACTGACAGCCCACAGAATATTTCACAACACAGATCTTCAATGAACTGGGAGTTCTCAGGCTGTGTAGCACAATATCTAGTAGAATGGGCTTTGGCTTCAGACTGATCTGGGTTTGAATTTTTGTTCTGTTAGGCGGTTACCTAACTTGAGTCACTTGTAAAATGGAGATAGTAATACCTATTGTTTGGGATTGTGACTAGGGTTAAATAAAGTAGCATAGCTTTTCCAATAACATCTTTTATAGAACAATATTAAGAGTTACTATATTAATGTCTCCTTTTTTTCCCCTATCATTTAGGTTTGAGAAATACAAGGTGTAAAGGGTAGGCAGGTAACATCAGTGTTTCTGAGTCTGGAACACACTATAGCTCTTTGTGATCTCTAAGGGTGCATGATGGTGTTCTATATTTTCCACATAGATATGGAATTGTGTGTGTGTGAATGCACACAGATTCTCTCCTGAGCATTGTACTACCATGGAGCCTCCAGAGGAAAGGTTGAGATATTCTTAATGAATGATGAGTATTCTTTTATCATTGTTACCCTTTTGGTAGGAAAAAAGTTATTCACTCTCTTCTCAGCCAGGCACATCTGGAGGCACACTATGTGCACATCAGCCTCTGCCTCAGGATTCACATGTACTTGCTGCATTCACTTTCTGAGGATGGTCTTGATTCTGGCCCTAGCAGAGACACATATATTACTTTACTCATCCGAATTACAAAGCCCAATTGGTCTACACTTGCTCCTCTTCTGTGGGGACACCCACTCCTCCTGGTGTTGAAATCCCAAGCAGAAGCCCCAGAAAGAAAAATGGCTATTTGGTGAGGAGGACACAGAATTGATAAAAGAGCATTTCATGTCATGGTTATTTTCTTCTGCCAAACGGAGAAGCCCTGTGCTCTTAGACAGCAGATCTGAGCTTCTGTTAAAGCTCTGTTGCTAATCACATGGTTGTGGAAGTGTTTTTTGCACCTTGCCAGCTGCCTAAAAGCAATACCACTTACCTTCCTCACTGCACGTTTTGTGAGGGTAATATACAAAATATGGAAAGTGCTATGAAAAATAATGTGTTTGTTTACATTGCATTTATGATGTGCAAATGGAAAAATGCAGCATACAGTTATGAGGTGAAATAGTTGTTGAGTGCATTTCTCATTTCTCTGATTAAAACTTGGGGAATGAAAATTGCTTGAGTTCTACCATTACAAAAACAAATAATATGTGAAGGACTGGTATAAAGATCAGGAAATTTCAAATAATGTCACGAATTCCTCATGCTCCATTCATGGACATTCCCCTCAACTCTCCCAACACATTCAAAGGATTAATATTGAAAAGTTAATATTGATATTTAAAAGCCAGTCCTATAATCTTTCGTCTGACTTCTGTCAACACTTATATGAACAACCTGGATGAAGGTAAGCTTATCAATCTTCAGTTGACATCTTGCTGTGAGGGAGAGATAGCAATGTAAGTGACGGGGAGATTTTCTCTAGGCTGGATTGTGGGAGAGAGTTTTTATTTTAAATTATTACTAAATATTAGGTGAGAGTATTGGTAATGTAGGCTTTGAAGTGTTTGATAAAATTCTAGTTGCCCAGTGTGATGTAGCTATTAAAAAACTAGTCCTACTTTGAGCACATGATAAAAGTGAGAGCACACAAGGGAGATATGAGGATAGGTAAGACACCTAAAAAATTAGCTAGCATTTGTTGCTCTTAATGCAGAGAAGCTAAAGCAGATACCTTAAAAGCAACTGAGGCCAATAGGAAAAGGGGACCAGGAACTAGAGAAAAGGTTAGATCAAAAAGAATTAACCTAGAATGTAACACACATGCACAGGAAATCAATGTGAGTCAATGCCCTGTATAGCTATCCTTATCTTAACTAGCAAAAACCCTTGTTCCTTCCTATTATGGCTTATACTCTCTCTACAACAAAATTAGAAATAAGGGCAAAATAGTTTCTGCTGGGTATTGAGGGGGTGGGGGGGAGAGGGAGGGGGCAGAATGGGGGTTAAGGGAGGGGGTGGGTGCAGTGGGGAGAAATGACCCAAGCCTTGTATGCATATATGAATAATAAAACAATAAAAAAAAAACTAGTCCTAGAATGTCTTAATAGAAGTCTGTTGGACAGAATAGAAGAAATAAATAGTTTTGCTATAATTTGTACTTTTTAGAAAACCTCTAGGGAGTTAAATTTAATTTTAAAGCTCATACTTTCAGAGAAATTACATTTATAGTGTATTTGGAGTGAAACCTATATGTCACAAGTAAAAACTGTTTGAAAGAAATTGGCAAGAGTTCCCAAGAGAACAGTCATGGTGGTTATTTCCCATAGTTGAGTAGCTGATGTGGAGTGCAAAATGGAGGTTTGAGTTTCCATCCTGGTTTA